TGATCCCAACACGGCCTTCCCCATCCCAACCCCATCTCATCCCGTCCCACTCTGTCCCACCCTTCCCCATCCCACCTCAACCCTATCCCATCCTACCCCATCTGATCCCAACACATCCTGACCCATCCCAACCCCATCTCATCCCGTCCCACCTTTCCCCATCCCACCCCAACCTCATCTCATCCCATCCCGTCCTACCCCATCTGATCCCAACACATCCCATCCCAACCCATCTGTCCCTTCCCATCCTCCTCCAGCTGATCCCAACACATCCTGACCCATCCCACCCAATCCCAACTGCATCTCATGTCATCCCACCCTTTCCTATCCCATCCCAACCCCATCTTATCCTATCCTCCCCCTTCTGATCCCAACACATCCCATCCCAACCCCATCCTTCCCCATCTGATCCCAACACATCCTTCTCCATCCCACTCCTTCCCAACCCCGTCCCATCCCATCCATCTCATCCTACCCCATCCCATTGACCCCATCCCATCCACCCTGTCCCATCCGGCCCTTTCTGCCCGCAGTATGCCATGCTCCTGTCCCTCATCTTCCTCATCGTCCTGGTGGCCGCCGTTGTGGGGTTCGTCTTCAGGCACGAGGTGAGTCTGGGGGGGCCGCTGTCATATCCCAGTGCTGCAGAGTGCCAACCCCATCCCAACCGCATCTTATCCTGTCTTCCCTTCTGATCCCAACACATCCCATCCCAACCCCGTCTTTCCCCATCTCTCCCATCCCATCCTTTCCCATCTGATCCCAACACATCCTGACCCATCCCAACCCCATCTCATCCCGTCCCACCCTTCCCCATCCCACTCCAACCCCATCCCAACCGCATCTTATCCTGTCTTACACATCCTGACCCATCCCACCCAATCCCAACTGCATCTCATGTCATCCCACCCTTTCCTATCCCATCCCAACCCCATCTTATCCTATCCTCCCCCTTCTGATCCCAACACATCCCATCCCAACCCCATCCTTCCCCATCTGATCCCAACACATCCTTCTCCATCCCACTCCTTCCCATCCCATCCTGTCCCATCCATCTCATCCTACCCCATCCCATTGACCCCATCCCATCCACCCTGTCCCATCCGGCCCTTTCTGCCCGCAGTATGCCATGCTCCTGTCCCTCATCTTCCTCATCGTCCTGGTGGCCGCCGTTGTGGGGTTCGTCTTCAGGCACGAGGTGAGTCTGGGGGGGCCGCTGTCATATCCCAGTGCTGCAGAGTGAGTTTGGTGCTGGTTTTCACCCAAGTACAGTCGCAGATGTCACTGGAGGGACAGAGATGCAACTGGGAGTGATGCTTAGTGTGGCTAAAACGGGGTTAAAACAGCCCAAAGAGCAGCTTGGTCCCTGTAAGGACTCACAATGTCCCCGTAAGGACGAGGCTGGGCGCAGGGTCTGTCTTTGGTCTGTCTTCTCCAATAATTTCTGTAAATGGGGTTAAAACAGCCCAAAGAGCAGCTTGGTCCCTGTAAGGACTCACAATGTCCCCGTAAGGACGAGGCTGGGCGCAGGGTCTGTCTTTGGTCTGTCTTCTCCAATAATTTCTGTAATTAAAGCTCCTCTGAGGGTTCCCGTGCCGCTGAGGGAAGGGGGGGGACAGTTGTCACCGTGTCGGTCCTTGTTATTACGTGCAGCATCCTGGCCTGCCCTTTAATCCAGCCTCTAATTGCCCGGGTGGCCGGGGGAGTGTCTGCTGGCCACGGCCGGAGTCATTCCCGCCGTCGCCCAGAGGTGACTTAACGTGGGACCATGGGGTCCTGAAGGCCCGGGAGGGGGATGGCACCACCGCAGAGACCTCTCTCTTGCAGATTAAGACAAACTTTGAGAGTAACCTCGACCTGGCCTTGAGGGACTACAACGTGACCGCGGATCGGCACAGCGAGGCCGTCGACACCATCCAGAGAACCGTGAGTGCTGGCGGCTGGCTCCTCTCAGGGAAGCTGGGCGGGACACTTGTTTCACCCCAGAGTGTCCCCTAGGACCCCCTGGGTGTCACCATGCTTTCTGCTCCAGGGGATTTTGAGTTTGGGAGGAGATGCTGGGTGAGGTGGAGGCAGTCTCTAGAGAGGCAAGGGCAGGGGAGCTGTGGGGGTGGTGGTAGGACTTGGGGTGAGGGTCCATACCTTGGTGTGACCGTGCTTCTCAAATGTTCTCCCTCCTCCAGCTGCACTGCTGTGGGGTACAGAACTACTCGGACTGGGAGAGGACCGAGTACTTCACCCAGAGGGGCTTCCCCCGGAGCTGCTGCAAGAGCCAGGACGACTGCTCGGAGGCGGATCTGAAAGACCCGAGCAAAGCCAAGCAGAAAGTGTTTGTGGATGTAAGTTAAGCTCAGAAAAAGCCCTCTGCCAGTCCTGGAGGTGGGGAGGGCAGAGCTGGGTGTGTGGAGAAGGACTTGCCCTTCCCTCAGAGGCTGGTAAGGAGAACTGCTTTCTTCATGCAGTCACCCTGTGGCCCAGGGACTCCCCTGGGCTGGAGCTAGAATCATAGAATGGTTCGGGTTGGAAGGGACCTTAAAGATCATCTCATTCCACCCTCCTGCCATGGGCAGGGACACCTCCCACCAGACCAGGTTGCTCCAAGCCCCATCCAGCCTGGCCTTGAACCCCTCCAGAGATGGAGTAGGGGAAGAGTTTGGAGGAACAAGCCCTCCTTCATGTCCAGGGTCTCCCCTGCTCCTTCCATGGAGGCCACGGACCAGCCAGACCCGAGTATTTGTGTTTAGGGCTGTGTGTTTGGGAGAACAGATGAACAAGGGGGTAATTTCCTGCTAAAGTTAGTTTTGGTGGCGCTGACATCTCTCGATGGCCGTGCAAAGTCCCAAGCCGGTGGCGAGCGTGGGTGACCTCATCCGGCGGGGACGGCTGGGTGATGCAAGGGACATGCCTCTGGTGAGTCACCTTGCTCAGCCCAACGTTCCCTCTGGGAGCAGCCCAAGGGCAACGCTCCCCGTGATAAGGCAGTGGGTCTGGGAGGCTGCGGCGCTGATAGGGAAATGACTTTGCCGAGGTCAGGCAGGGAGGGTGGCAGCCAGAAGCTCTCGGCCACCCACCCGGGAGCATCTTCCCCTGGAGGGGCTGGTTTTTGCTCCTGGGGGGGGTGTGAAAAGCTCCAGACCCACCTACTCACTTTCCCTCCTCTGCAGGGTTGTTTTTTCCTGGTAACGTCAACGATGGAGTCAAAAATGAGCGTGGTGGCTGGGATCTCCTTTGGCATCGCATGCTTCCAGGTAAGGCTCCCTTGCTGGCCAGCAGAGGAGGGGTGCAGAGCAGAGCAGAGCTAGCGTGTCTCCAGAGGTGTTTAATTTCTGTGCAAAGCCCAGTGTGTGTACAAAAGGCACGGCCTCTTCCAACCAGGGAGGGGCAGCTGTTCTGCAGATTCCCCCTGGGTTTAATCTCGCCGCTGAGCAGCTTCTGGTCCCTTCAAGCCTGGGCTGAGGCACCAGCTCTGTTTCCGTGAGCCCAGCTTGTTTGAGAGTAGCTGCTGTCCGAAACCACTGACTTAGGGAAAACCCAAGGGGAGCCTGTTCCGTGCTGAGTGAACTCCCTGCTCTTGGCAGGGGTGGAATTTGCGCTTTTCCTTTTCCTAACCACTGACCTCCCTTTCCATCCGGGAGGTGTTTTGGCGTCACTTCTGCGGGGCTGGGTCTCCCTGCGAGCGGCTCCTACCCCTACCCCTGCCATCGATCCCTCTCCCTCCCGCTCTCCTTTACTTTATCCTGCAGGATGCTTCCTGCAGGAGCTGTAGCGAGCTCCTGCTGCTCTGTCGGGCTTTATCCCGGCAGGAAATGAGAGGCCCCTTCCCCCCAGCTCCGCTGCCCTGGGCACGATCAGCCGCCGTGGGGCTTCCCGAGGTGCCGAGGGTTTTCCGATGCTGCTGTGGGATTTGCAGCCGGCCCCTCCATAGCTGGTTTGGGGAAGCTTTGCTGGGCCTCGGGGGGTGGGCTTGAGTTCACCCTCCTTTTGATCCGGCACGCAGACGCCGTGGCATTAGCCAGGACCACGGCTCCAGCGTGGGGAGAGGGAACCCTGCCAAGATGTTTCCCCCCGTAAGGAGTGACTCGCCGTGTGTTTCCCGTAAGGGATGGCCCGAGCTGGGGGAAGAGGCAGGAGCCAACACCCCCCGGCTGCCCTTGGTGCTTCCCAGCACTTTCGGTCACCGCTGGGAGAGCCGGAGTCGCTGTGCCCAGCCCCTCACCCCCCTCTCCTCCTTCGCTCGCCGTGGGGTCACCAAGATGTGACCAACACTCAAACGAGGAGCCACACGCTCCCAGCTGCGAAATTAGCTTGGCTGATGCCAGGCTTGGGAATTTTATTTGGTTTTTATTGCCCTTTCAGCAAGCCGTGCTGTGTTGTGTGGCCAGCAGGGACCCATCATCCTAATGTGCCTCTCGCTTTGCTTGTGTAGGTCAGAGTCCTGCAGGATCTGGCCTTAGATGTCTGCACAGGGGCTGGGAGGCCACGTGGTGATAACAGCAGCGTGTCCTTCAGATGCTGACGCGAAAATGGCAGCCTTGCTGCCCTGCTGTCCTTGCCATAGGGAGAGGTGGCGGCTGTTCTCTGGTTGGCCGTGTAATGGGCTGTGACGCTCCTGATATCTGTGTAATCACCACAAGAACTGTAAAACAGTAGATGCTTCATGAAGCAAAAACGTAACGGGACGGGACAAGGAGCATCTCCTGTGAGGAGCTTGTTTGGCTGATGCCTGCCAGGATCTTCCACTTCAGCCTCTCTCCATTACTCCCAAGCAGGGCACGGCAGCCCCTCTTGTCATTTGTAAATCCCGCTGTTCTCTGGAATTTATAAAACCGATGCTCTGGAGGAACTTGTCAGGCTTTTCTCCTAAAAAACTGCTGGTTTTGGCTACCTCTGATATGTTGGGGTTTTTTTTTTTCTCTCTTTTTCAGTTGATTGGCATCATTCTTGCCTGCTGCCTGTCCCAGTACATCACGAACAATCAGTACGAGATGGTGTAGCTGGCCCCCAGCACTCTGTGGCCGTGGCCAGGTATGTCTGTCCAGTGGTGAAAGCTTGGTGGGCCACCTCAGCGTCCCTGTCTGCCACCTGGTCCCCCCTGGGGACCTTTGGCAGGGTGGCAGGTACCACTTTTGGGGCATGTGATGACCAAGAGCAACTGCAGGACCGTGTCTGCTACATTGTTTTAAGATGTGTATAAATCCAGCCTTATCTGGATTTATACTTATCTGGATTTATATTTAACATAAGGACATCCAGCCTTATGTTAACACTTTGTGTTGTGCCTTGCAGGGTGTGCTCTCCGTGAGCGGGGAGGATGCCACCACCTCCAGTTTTCCTCTGGACGCCATTCTGTGAAATCTTGCTTTGAACTGACTGATCTTCTTCTCAACTAGTTCGTAGAAAAGAGCGCGGCAGCCGTCCTGGTGCGCTCAGGGACTTGTCCTAACACTACTCTGCTGTGCCACCGCCTGGGATAATTAGTGTAGCTGTGGTGGTTACAGCACACTGCCTCCTCTGGGCTCTCTATTCAGCCAGCAGTGTGCTCCAGTGCCGTGCTGAAGCCCACCATGGGGCTCCCAGTGCTCCTTTTCGGTGCCTCCGTGGGGCAAGCGATGCTTCCCCTCATCTCTGGCAGCCCTTTGATGTCCCCTCGCCCTCTGGACATGGCTGCTCTCGAGATGGGGCTGTTGCCCTGGTGAAACATCACCCTGTGTGCCTGAAAGCTCGGCAAGGTCTCGGCTTGTTGCCAAGCTCTCTTTCATCCCTGGGTTTTATATACTTTTTTTTTTTTTTTTTTTATAGTTGTACTTTTTAAAGTACGGGCTGTAGTGATTCTTCATAAGCTGTAGCGAGGTTTGGTGATGTAGCTCCTGGTGCCTTTACCTTGGTAGGTGTCCTTGCACCGAGTCAGCTGTGACTTGATTGTCAGTATTATATGCTGCTTATCTCATTTTGTGTATTGAGTAGAACTCTTTTGTCCCGAGACACAATAAATATTAAGATATTTTACTCTATGCAACCTCCGTGGCTTTGCTTTTCATCTCCTGGGAAAATTCCTCTGCTCGAGTGGCTGCAATGAGCAGCAACCCCCCCGGGAGGTAATCCGCTCGCCCCGGGCCAGCTGATAACCTCTGGACCACTGCAGCTCGTGTTTTCCTGATGCTGCTGCATTTGTGCTTGCAAATAACTTCTGTAATTGAATTTTCTTCGTAACAGCGGTTGTGTAACAGTGCTGAAGCAGAATGCCTGGAGCATCCCAGCCCATCCCGGGCAAATGAGCATCCTCCGCCAGCCACCGCTTGGAGACAAGGGCAGGGCAGTGCTGCTGGAGCCACCTGCGTCCCCAGCCTCTCCCTGGGGCAAGAAATGTGGATTTAAGCTTTTATGTTCGTTTGGTAGTGCTCGTCTTTTGGGCTGTGTTGTCAGCAAGCCTTTGCTCTGGCTGGGCGTGATGCCACAGTGGTGCAGAGAAGCTCCTCTCCCACCCAGTTTGGGGGATTTTGGGGTCCCAAACACAAAACATGCTCTGACAAGCTCTAGGCAATTCTGCTTTAGCAGAAGAGTTGGAGTAGATGATCTCTATGGTCCCTTTCAACTCTAAAAATTCAGTGAAATTCAGTGAAAACTCACAAGGGCTGTGGCTTGGAGCAGCCATCTGGGGCTGGAGGCAACTGTAAAAGGGGGGGGTTAAGCCACAGGTAGGAGTGGTGGCTCTTCATCAGCCTTCTGGCAAAGGCTTCTCCGTGGTGCAGTAAATGACCAGGTATGGGGCAATCTGGCTGCTGATGGAGGAGCCTGATGGGGAACACCTGAAACCCTTTTGCTGGGTTTAATCCAGGTGAGTAAATCGCTGTCGTCAGCATCTGTCTGACCAAAAGCCTCCTGCATCAGGAGAGCCAGGCAGAGCTCAGAAACCAGGGTGGAGAGATCGGCCGGTGGCAATTAATGGGTGGATGGAGACAGGGCAGGAATATGGGAGAAGCAGAGCCAGGTTTGGGTAAAGCCATCCCCATCAGAAAGCCCCTGCACTGGTCCATGTCCCTGCACTGGTCCATGTCCCTGCCTCCGCAGGGGACAGGGGCAGCAGAGGTGATGCCGGGTGGGCAGGGATGGTGCTGGCAGAGGATGGCACGGGGAACCCAGAGATTAAGCTGCTGCAGCAAAACCAGCACTATCTGTGCCAACCTGGGGAGCATGGAGGGCTCGTCCAACCTGCTTGTCCCCACGGCCACCAACAGGCACCGTGGCCATCAGAGGGTGCAGATCTTACCTAGTTAATTAGTGCTTGCGCAAGACACCTGGCTTTAATTTGGAGAGGCAGCAGTGGTGTCCTGCAGGTACGGGTGTGTGCTGCCAGGTGGATTTGGGACACCGCTGTCCTGGCAAAGGCATTGGATGCACCTTGGTGACCCACAGGGACCCACAGAGCTGGGACAAGCACTGCTGGGCTCTGGTTCCCTGCAGCAGCTGTGGCCAGGTGGGCTTTACACACCTCTGCTTGCATTTGAACCTTGGCGATTAATGTCTCAGGGGACTTGCCAGAAGCACCTGGTGTCCCCAGGACTGGCTGGCATCCCTTGGGAGGCCATGTGGGGAGCTCCCAATGTTCTAACCGTGTGGCCATGAGCAGGGATGGAGGGAACTGCCCTTAAAATGTGCTCATGTCCCCACAGGAGCCACAGGGATGTGGGGAGGGCCTGGCAGCCCCGGGGACACCACAGCTGGCACCCAGCAAAGTGGGGGTGAGCAGAGCCTGCCCCCCTGCTCCCTCCCCTACATGCACGGCCGGGCAGGCTTGTCCATCCAGGTGTTTCCCTGGAAAGCCCCATCTGTCACCCTGGGTGACACCAAAGGGGTTTCACCCAGTGACACCCAAGGGATGGCAAAGCTGCTCAGAGAGATGAGAGCTGGCCCCTGGGCTCTGGCATGAGCCCCAAGGCCACGAGTGGGGGACAGCTGCACGGGGGGTCAATAGGGGTTCTGGCCATTAGCCCCCAGCACTGTCCTGCTCAGGACAACTGCAGTGCCAAGGACTTTTTTTGCCTCCTACAGCTCGAGTTCTGCTGATTTGTTGGTCACAGGGCTGGGGACAGTGGATGGCACCTTGGAGTCCTCCCTGCTGCTGCTCCCTCAGGCTTTGGCCCCCCCATTTCCCGGGGGCTCCGTTGTACCCACTCCAGCCTCCACCTTGCCCACACGCTGTCCTGCTGCCCGTCGCTCCCAGGGGACTGGTGCCACCCCAGAGCTGTCACCAGCAACTGCTGAGCACATCCACGCTGGAACAGAGGGTTGGGACGTGCTGAACAACCACCAGGGCCATCAGGGAGCAAATTAGGGACCTCCGCACGTTCCCGGCGAGGCGAGCGCCGGTACCTGAGTTATGGATGCTGGTGACGAGGCAGCCGAGCAATTAGATCACTTCTCAGACCCATTAACCATCACAGACTGAGGCTAAACGACTTTCCATTTTCTTTGCAATCGCTCATACAAGACGTTTATTGTTTGCCTCTTGCCGCTCAGCGTGGTCGACGATGCGCTGGAGCACGGCCTCCTCCAGCAGCGCGGGATGCCAGGGGGACCGGCGGGGGGAGGGTGCCCGCGGCCGGTGGGATCCCAGGCTCATGGGCAATTAAGCAGGTAACGACCATCAGGATGCATCCGGCGACGCCGCAGGTGGGTGCAGGACAGGACCCCAGCGCTGGGGGCTACACCCTGCCCAGCATCCGCGCGATCCACCAGTTGCAGGGCATGATGATGCGGCAGATGACCCTCCCGCCCTGGTAGCAGTAGGGGTAGGGGTAGTAGCCCAGGAGGGGCTCGCAGACCCGCCGGCAGTAGCGGTTGGCGCGGCGGCACTGGGCACAGCAGTAGCCTCGCTCGTCCCACAGCGGGTGGAACTCCAGCCCGTTCTCCGACTGTGCGCTGGGGGCTACACCCTGCCCAGCATCCGCGCGATCCACCAGTTGCAGGGCATGATGATGCGGCAGATGACCCTCCCGCCCTGGTAGCAGTAGGGGTAGGGGTAGTAGCCCAGGAGGGGCTCGCAGACCCGCCGGCAGTAGCGGTTGGCGCGGCGGCACTGGGCACAGCAGTAGCCTCGCTCGTCCCACAGCGGGTGGAACTCCAGCCCGTTCTCCGACTGTCGGGAAGAGCCAGTGTCAGCACAGCCAGGATGTCCCACACATCCCACATGTGGGACACCCCAGGAACACAGAGAAGGCACCTTGGGAAAGCAGTCAGGATGTCGGGAAGAGCCAGTGTCAGCACAGCCAGGGTGTCCCACACATCCCGCATATGGGACACCCCAGGAACACAGAGAGGGCACCTCGGGAAGGCAGCCAGGACACCCCAGGAGCATGGACAGGTCACCATAGGAACATGGCAAGGACATCCCAGGAGTGTGACCAGGACACCTTGGGAGGGCAGCCAGGGGACCTCAGGAGCATGGACAGGACACCTTTGGAGGGCAACGAGGACACCCCAGGCTCATGGACAGGACACCTTTGGAGGGCAGCCAGGACACCCCAGGAGCATGGACAGGGCACCATAGGAACATGGCAAGGACATCCCAGGAGTGTGACCAGGACCCCTTGGGAGGGCAGCCAGGGGACCTCAGGAGCATGGACAGGACACCTTTGGAGGGCAGCCAGGACACCCCAGGAGCATGGACAGGGCACCATAGGAACATGGCAAGGACATCCCAGGAGTGTGACCAGGACCCCTTGGGAGGGCAGCCAGGGGACCTCAGGAGCATGGACAGGACACCTTTGGAGGGCAGCCAGGACACCCCAGGAGCATGGACAGGGCACCATAGGAACATGGCAAGGACATCCCAGGAGTGTGACCAGGACCCCTTGGGAGGGCAGCCAGGGGACCTCAGGAGCATGGACAGGACACCTTTGGAGGGCAGCCAGGACACCCCAGGAGCATGGACAGGGCACCATAGGAACATGGCAAGGACATCCCAGGAGTGTGACCAGGACACCTTGGGAGGGCAGCCAGGGGACCTCAGGAGCATGGACAGGACACCTTTGGAGGGCAACCAGGACACCCCAGGCTCATGGACAGGACACCTTTGGAGGGCAGCCAGGACACCCCAGGAGCATAGACAGGTCACCCTAGGAACATTGCCAGGGCACTCCAGAAGCATAAACAGAACATCCCAAGGAGCACAGCCAGGAAACCCCAGAAGCATGGACAGGTAACCCTAGGAATATGGCCAGGACACCCCAGGAGCATGGACAGGATACCCCGGGACCATGGCCAGGGCACCCCAGGATGTGATTCCCCACACTCACGTAGTCGTTGACAGGTAGGTCCTCCTCAGTGAGCTGTCGTGCCCGGCGTTTGGGCCCCGGCTGCGCATCCTTCTCCACCTCGTGTTCACTTCCCCCATCCAACCAGCTCTGGTTGTCCATGAGCAGCTCAGGATCCTCTTCTTCTACCCCTTCAAGGTCAGCAGGCTCAGGAGCTACGGGAAGAGCCCAAACATTGCTGTCAAGAACCACGGGTGACCAGGACACCTTGGGAGGGCAGCCAGGACACCCCAAGAGCATGGACAGGTCACCCTAGGATATGGCCAGGACACCCCAGAAACATGGACAGGTAACCCTAGGAATATGGCCAGGACACCCCAGGAGCATGGACAGGATACCCCGGGACCATGGCCAGGGCACCCCAGGATGTGATTCCCCACACTCACGTAGTCGTTGACAGGTAGGTCCTCCTCAGTGAGCTGTCGTGCCCGGCGTTTGGGCCCCGGCTGCGCATCCTTCTCCACCTCGTGTTCACTTCCCCCATCCAACCAGCTCTGGTTGTCCATGAGCAGCTCAGGATCCTCTTCTTCTACCCCTTCAAGGTCAGCAGGCTCAGGAGCTATGGGAAGAGCCCAAACATTGCTGTCACTAACCAGGAAGCAGGTGTTAATGTCTCTACCAAAATTTGGTGCCATGGTACAAGTGGAGGAGGAAAGTGCTCTGACCTACAGCCTTACCAGCAAACCATCTCTACTCCA